GAACATTTTATTTTCCTTGTTTCTCTCACGTTTGCGAAGTTATACTTTTACTTGTTGAATCATTGAGTGGAAAGAAGAAAAAGAAAATAGAATAGGAAAAAAAAAGCGGAAGGAATTATTATAGCTTTTTTTTACCAGCGCATAAAACGACGAGTGTCGTCAGAAAAAAATAATGAAGTAAAATGAGGAAAGGTTAGAGTTTGAAGATAGTTATTATTCAGAAAATCTTCCTCACAATATTAAAGACGTAAAAAATAGAAAAATGACTAGCGTTTATCCAAACGAAGAAAAACAAGGTTTTCCACCAACTTATGGTAATAAAACTATTTATTTTGAAATATAATTTTATAGGAAAAATTATTTTTTCGATTTATAGAACAAGCCATGACTTATCCGCAGGCTCCACCAATACCATCTGAATTTGATATGCCTACATCACCTGTAGTTTTCCAACCTCAACAACCGCCAGTTGGAATGTATTCAACACAATATATGAATCTAGGTCCTCAAGCGCCACCTGTTGGTTTCTACCCATCAATCGGTATGTATCCAACATCAACTACAGGTCAAATACCTCAAGGACCACAACTTGGTACTAGTATGTTTATAACAACACAATCATTAATCTATGGTGATTTACCAATTCAATGTATATGTCCACATTGTCAACAATCAATTGTTACACGAATAGAAAGACAAACTGGTTTAGTATCATGGTTAGTTTGTGGTGGAATACTTTTATTAGGTGGTTGGTTTGGTTGTTGTCTTATACCATTTTGTATCGATAGTCTTAAAGTAAATTAAATTAAAAATAAAATAATTCTTTTATTCTTTTTTTCTCTATATAGGACACTGAACATTATTGCCCAAATTGTGCAGTTCTACTCGGTACACGGCGACGAATGTGATCTACTTTTTATGAATTTAAAAATACATTTCTCAATTGTATTTTGTGAAATAAATGTAAAACTAGTCTTGTATTTTTTCTTCTTTATTAATTTATTTAAATATACATCTCATATCAAAGCACATTCCAATTAAGAAAAAAAAAACAGACATATGAAAAGAGGGGGGGGGAGAGAAAACTGTAATTAATTCATGTTATGATTCATTAATATTGAACGTTTTTTAATATGTTCATTTTGAATAAATTTCATTTTTTCTTTTATTAAAGATAATTGTTGTTTAACAAGAATAAGATCATTTAATTGATTATGTACATGAATAGATTTATTATCGTAAATAAAAAGCCAATTTATTAAAATAATTTCATCTTTTGTCGCTAAACGAGATTTTCTTTCATGATTTAATATTGAATCATATAAAGACCATCCATTAATACAAGGTTGATTATTTAAATATCCACAATCTGATAAATTATTTGTTAATAAATTTGAAAAATTCGATCGATAATATTCATGTAAATCTGTTAATGATATTTTATTTGAATTAAATAATTGTACAAAAAAAAATTCACGATGTGATAAAAGTAATTGATAAAGTGAGATAAATTTTTCATCAACATTTTTATAATAATATTTATATTTTTTTATATAACGTGTACCATATTCAATTATTTTCATATAATTATTTATTAAATTTAATGGTTGACTATGAAAATATGGCATTAAAGTATTTAATGTTGAATTAAATGGTTTACGAAGATCATTTAAATTAAGAAGAATATCCGATGATGTTATTATATATGGATATATACAACGATCTAATTGAAGATAACCACCGATTGATGAAAGATCACACTTCGAAAAAAAAACATGAGAAGAATTATTTGATGGAGAAAAAATAAATTTTTTTCTTCTTTACTTTTTCATCATCAAAACAAAGTTGCCGTTTAACAGCTTGCATTGAAGGAAAAATTGTTGAACGAAGATTATTATATCTAAAAATAAAGAAATCCGAGAATATGTCAATAATGAAATTAATTAATTTATATATATACTTTGTGGTTGCTTCGGAATTAATTATATCAATTTCTCGTATAGATCCATAATCGATATCAATTGTAAAACGAGCAAAGAATTTTTCTTGAATATTTTCTGTAGTTGTTGATGTTTTAGAATCTTGTAAGAGTTGAAGTAATTGAAGATATTGATCGATTAATGAACATAAGATAAGTTTGGATGATAAGGAAAAATCTTTCTTTGGATATAAAGTTTTATATAATTGTATTTCATTGATAGTCATTGGTAATAGAGGTAATTTCTTGGATGAATTCCATGTGGAACAATAAGTACTTAGCTCATCAACAACAAGGTCAAAAGCAATATATGGATAGTAAACTCCGGATTTAAGTCTGTTAATAAAGATAGAAAATATATATTGAAAAAAAGGAATGAACAAACCGATAAAGAATAGGTATTTGTTTATTATTAATAGCAAAATGACCATAATGATTTCGAAGTGTTGGAAGATCAAATGGTATTGAAGTCATTTTTTATTATTATTCTGACTAAATAAAAACGAAATAAAATAAGAATTTAAATCGTTCACTTTAGTACTGTATTTTCTTTTTCGAATTCTATAATACTATCTAGTAGAAAGGGAGAAGATCACACGTATACATACTAAAGAAAGAACTCCAATAATGTTTATTTTTAAAATTTCATAGAAAAATAACTCATATAAATTCATTATCAATTAATAAAATATAGAATGATATAATTATTAGTAAATTTATTCCAGAGCTCAAAAGACGACATCTATCGAAATGCTTATTAATTCGATAGATCAACGTAACCAATCTATATATTTAGTTTAACGACAACTGCTTTTTAATCATAATAATAACATAACATTCGACTCATAAATAAAGAACAGTTCTATCTTTCGTTACACATATTAATTGCATATTATGCATTCAAGTTTATCATCTATGACAAGTAAAAAATTATGCAATTGTGTAGCTGTTCCACTTATACGTCGACATGTTTCTGCAACACATCAAGCAGCAACAGCTAATGCAACTGCTCGTTCGTTTCTTGTTCGTTTTATTGAAGAACGTCGTAAAAGAAGTCAACAGGATGATATTCGTCTTGAACCATATTTATCTAAAGGTGTTTATACAGAATCCGGTGCAATTCGACCAGTAAGTTAAATATAAAATAAAATAAAACTAAAAATTTATTTTTAATATGTAGATGCCTAAACGATATCCTCTTGGTATAGTGAAAGTTTTACTTATTGCCATTCCATTTCTTTATATTGGTTCACTTGTAAGCAAATATGCAGCATTAGGTCTTGAAAAAATGGATTTATTCGTATACAGTGACGATGATGATGATGACGATGATGATGATTAAGAATACAAAAGAAAAAAAAAAGAACAAAGAATCTAGTCATTAATAAGGGTTTCTTTTTTTAATTCTTAGTATTTTCAAATTTCTTTTTTTTTATATGTTTATGTATCGTT